TAGTTTATAGTGTAGTGTGTAGCGTATAGTGTAGTGTATAGTGTAGTGTGTAGTGTATAGTGTAGTGTATAGTGTAGTGTATAGTAGTGTATAGTAGTGTATAGTGTAGTGTATTGTAGTGTATAGTAGTGTATAGTGTAGTGTATAGTGTAGTGTATAGTAGTGTATAGTGTAGTGTATAGTAGTGTATAGTGTGGTGTATAGTGTAGTGTATAGTAGTGTATAGTTTGGTGTATAGTGTAGTGTATAGTAGTGTATAGTGTAGTGTATAGTGTAATGTATAGTCGTGTATAGTGTAGTGTATAGTGTAGTGTATAGTGTAGTGTATAGTGTAGTTTATAGTGTAGTGTGTAGCGTATAGTGTAGTGTATAGTGTAGTGTGTAGTGTATAGTGTAGTGTATAGTGTAGTGTATAGTAGTGTATAGTGTAGTTTATAGTGTAGTGTGTAGCGTATAGTGTAGTGTATAGTGTAGTGTATAGTGTAGTGTATAGTAGTGTATAGTGTAGTGTATAGTAGTGTATAGTGTAGTGTATAGCAGTGTATAGTGTAGTGTATAGTAGTGTATAGTGTAGTGTATAGTGTAGTGTATAGTGCAGTGTATAGTGTATAGTAGCGTATAGTGTAGTGTATAGTGTAGTGTATAGTAGTGTAGTGTATAGTAGTGTATAGTGTAGTGTATATTACAAGACGGTGGTGAGGCCAGTGCTGTTGTATGGGGCCGAGTGCTGGGGCACAGAAAGAGGGAAGACCAAGCTACGGCAGTCACAGAGATGAGGATGTTGCGTTGGATGTTGGGTTTAACAAGGAAGGACACAGTGGTGAGAAATGAAGAAGTGAGAAGACGACTCAAGGTAGTAGGAATCACAGAGAAGATGAAGAAAGGCTCTGGTGTGGTTCGATCATGCGGAGAGACAGCAGGAAAAGTATTGTCAGAAGGTGGCAAATGATGCAAGTTGGAAGGAAAGAGATCAAGAGTAAGGCAGAAGAAAAGGTGGGGGGTGGGGGGCGATGCGGTGCGATCGGACCGTGGTGGGCCGAGGAGCGGGAAGAGAGGGCAGTGTGGAGAAGGTTGGCAAGGACAGCGGACAGCCCCACGTGAGTGAGGCCAAACGCGTGGAAGTAGAAGAAGAGTCTTCGGTGACCATCAACTCGCGACATTTGAGAACCCCGTTTTAATCACAAGTGACGAGATGTTAACTACCTCGCCTGGTCTATAGGAGGTCTTGGAGGCTCGATCCTTACCCTGACGCCAGCTGTATATTTGGAGTTTGCGTCTCTCTCTCTTCCCATTGTCGCGTATGTTTTTTTTTTCTCCTGGTCCTCCGGTTTTTCCCTCCACGTTTGGAGTGTTTGGCTGCTATCAATTTCCACGACGATGATGAGCCACTTCGTCGAGCTATCGTTTGTGGCTCAGTGGGGCCTCTCCTTGTGAAATAAAAACAATATTTTAGTTTAATAGTTTTAGAGAACCCGGTATTAATCACAAATGTGGCGGGGGAGGGGGGGGGAGTCTACATGTAATTGTCTGCTATGAATGTCCACGTGATAAGCCACTTCGTTGAGCTTTCGTTTGTGATATCACCAGGTCGCCTCTGAAAAAGCTGAATAGCTCAGTAGGGCCTTACCTGGTGAATAAAAAAAATATAGTTTAGTTTAATAGTTTTAGAGAACCCGGTTCTAATGACAGTTGTGGTGGTTGTCTCAATGAACATCAGTGGATCTCTGTGTAAGTCGTTGGTGACCCCGAGGCTGAGAGCATCAACTCGCTACACTTGGTAAGCAGGTTTTAATCAAGAACTCTGGTTGTCTTCATCTACGGTACTTCAGCGGATCTCTGTGTAAGTCGTTGGTGACCCCTAGGCTGAGATCATCAACTCGCTACACTTGGTAACCAGGTTTTAATCAAGAGCTCTGGTTGTCTAAATGAACGTCAGTGGATCTCTGTGTAAGTCGTTGGTGACCCCGAGGCTGAGAGCATCAACTCGTACACTTGGTAAGAAGGTTTTAATCAAGAGCTCTGGTTGTCTTCATCTACGGGACTTCAGTGAATCTCTGTGTAAGTCGTTGGTGACCGCGAGCCTGAGATCATCAACTCTCTACACTTGGTAAGCAGGTTTTAGTCAAGAGCTCTGGTTGTCTCAATGAACGTCAGTGGATCTCTGTGTAAGTCGTTGGTGACCGCGAGGCTAAGAGCTTCAACTCGCTACACTTGGTAAGCAGGTTTTAGTCAAGAGCTCTGGTTGTCTTCATCTACGGGACTTCAATGGATCTCTGTGTAAGTCGTTGGTGACCGCGAGGCTAAGAGCTTCAACTCGCTACACTTGGTAAGCAGGTTTTAGTCAAGAGCTCTGGTTGTCTTCATCTACGGGACTTCAGTGGATCTCTGTGTAAGTCGTTGGTGACCGCGAGGCTAAGAGCATCAACTCGCTGAGACAATAAACAGACTATAACCGGGCCCTCTGAGGTCACCCGGCCACCCTCATGGGATGATGTTTGGTGCCCGATTTATTGACGGTGTTAACTGCTGCTGTGGTGATGCTGGTGGTGATGTCAGCGTTGTGTGCTGCTGTGATATCAGTGTTGATGATGTGATGGTGTTCAAGTTGACAATGATGGTGATGTGGTGTTGGTGGTGATGTTTACGGAGATGCGATGTTGGTGCTGCATGTAATATGTTGATGTTAGTGTTGATGTGTTTCATGTTCGTACTGATGTGATGTTAGTGTTGATGGGGCGGTGTTAGTGTTTATATGATAGTGTTGTGACGCTTGTGTTGATGTTAGTGCTGATGTGAAGATGGTATTGTTGATTATATTGTTGATGATGTTATTGCTGATGTGATGTTAGTGTTGATGTTTGCTGTTATTGTTGATATTGTTGATGATGTTAGTGTTGATGTTGATCTGATGATGTTAGTGTTGATGTTGATCTGATGATGTTAGTGCTGATTGTGACGCTGGTGTTGATGCGATGTTAGTGCTGATGATGTTAGTGTTGATAATGTTAGTGTTGGTGTGATGGTGCTGTTGTGATTATGATGTTGGTGTGATGGTGATGTTGTGTTGATGTTGGTGTGACGGTGCTGTTGTGTTGATGATGTTGGTGTGATGGTGCTGTTGTGTTGATGATGTTGGTGTGATGGTGCTGTTGTGTTGATGATGCTGGTGTGATGGTGCTGTTGTGTTGATGATGTTGGTGTGATGGTGCTGTTGTGTTGATGATGTTGGTGTGATGGTGCTGTTGTGTTGATGATGTTGGTGTGATGGTGCTGTTGTGTTGATGATGCTGGTGTGATGGTGCTGTTGTGTTGATGATGTTGGTGTGACGGTGCTGTTGTGTTGATGTTGGTGTTATGGTGCTGTTGTGTTGATGTTGGTGTGATGGTGCTGTTGTGTTGATGATGTTGGTGTGACGGTGCTGTTGTGTTGATGATGTTGGTGTGACGGTGCTGTTGTGTTGATGATGTTGGTGTGATGGTGCTGTTGTGTTGATGATGTTGGTGTGATGGTGATGTTGTGTTGATGTTGGTGTGATGGTGATGTGTTGATGATGTTGGTGTGATGGTGCTGTTGTGTTGATGATGTTGGTGTGATGGTGATGTTGTGTTGATGATGTTGGTGTGATGGTGCTGTTGTGTCGATGATGTTGGTGTGCTGGTGCTGTTGTGTTGATGATGTTGGTGTGATGGTGCTGTTGTGTTGATGATGTTGGTGTGATGGTGATGTTGTGTTGATGATGTTGGTGTGATGGTGCTGTTGTGTTGATGATGTTGGTGTGCTGGTGCTGTTGTGTTGATGATGTTGATGTGATGGTGCTGTTGTGTTGATGATGTTGGTGTGATGGTGCTGTTGTGTTGATGATGTTGGTGTGATGGTGATGTTGTGTTGATGATGTTGGTGTGATGGTGCTGTTGTGTTGATGATGTTGATGTGATGGTGCTGTTGTGTTGATTATGTTGATGTGATGGTGATGTTTTGTTGATGATGTTGGTGTGATGGTGATGTTGTGTTGATGATGTTGGTGTGATGGTGCTGTTGTGTTGATGATGTTGGTGTGATGGTGCTGTTGTGTTGATGATGTTGGTGTGATGGTGCTGTTGTGTTGATTATGTTGGTGTGATGGTGATGTTTTGTTGATGTTTGGGCTACGTAGCCACGAATCTGTTGAACCCTAAGAAACCCAAGTGAGGGGACCCGCCTCTATGTGAGTCACGTGCTCGACCTGCCACTCACCCGGATGTATATCTAAAAATAGCACCAGGGCGGGGGCTACATGCTGACGCCAGATGTCACGTGGTCCATCCAGCCGGTGAGGGCGGGGCTTCATTTGCCCGGGTCTGACGTCGCTGCTCACGTGATGCTTCTTCCTCCACCGTGGCCACGCCTCTTCCACCGATTAATCGATTACATCAAAAAGAGAAAATCTATTCCAATATTCATATCGATTATTAAGCTCCCACCCACCACGATTCAATTTAATTGACTTGTGCGCTTAACATCGATTACGTTCGATTCGTTACTCTCGTATCCAATTGCAGTATATTCGTCTCAATGTGAATGTGGAGAAATCAATTATTGAATCGAGTTGTAAAATTAATCGAATCGAGTGGGCGGGAGATGGGCGAGAAACGACCCCCCCCCCTCGGTGCCGCCCTCCCAGCATGCCTCGCGCGCAAGGGTTTTGCGCTTGTGCCACGCCCTATTTCACCGTCGCCCCGCCTCATTCACTGTCGCCCCGCCCCTACTTTTACCATCGCCCCGCCTTCTCTCATCTCTGACCCCGCCCTCTCTCACAATCGCCCCCCTCACCCCGCGTCCAGTTGCTGCTGGTGGCACGTGCCCCTGGCTAAGCGATGGGAGAGGGGAGGGTGGAGAGAGGGAAGGGTGGGGTGGGGGAGGGCGGGGCTTGGCTGCGAGCGGGGCGTGGCTTTATCCGCGAGTGGGGCGGAGCTCGCGCGGTGGGCGGGGCCCCTCCCCCTCTATATAAAAGTGGCGCGCCGGGGGCTCGCGGCTCCCGCCTCCCCCTCGCAAGAGAGCGAGAGAGAGAGAAAAAAATTAATTATAACATCACCGCAATTAGCCCGATTAATTAACACCCCCCCCCCTCCACTACCAACCAACCTCACAAACCCAATTACCGTCAAACCGCAATCGTCGTCGCGTGAGGGAGAGTCTCGCGCGGGCGCGGGATTTTTTTCTCTCTTTCCCCGCGGCCGTGTTTGTCTCTCTCCTTCCCGCCACCACCACCACCAACCCCCACCATCACCACACCGCCCCCCAACCAGAACCGTCCGCGCGGCTAACCCCCTCACAACCTCCTCACGCTACCGTCGCCACCACCGCCGCCGCCGCCACCGCCGCCGCCGCCGTCTCGCATAACGGTCGCGCCCCGCGGGCCGGGCCAGGCCGGGGGAGGAGGAGGAGGAGGGCGACGAGGAGGGAGGGAGGGAGGAGAAGGAGAAAATTGCCGCCATGGGCTGCTTCGACAGCAAGACCGAAGATCAGCGGACTGACGAGAAGGCGCAGAGGGAGGCCAACAAGAAAATCGAGAGACAGCTCGCGCGGGAGAAGCAGCAGTACCGCGCCACGCATCGCCTCCTCTTGCTGGGTGAGGCCGCCACCACCACTACCACAACCCCCACCACCACTACCACAACCCCCACCACCATTACCACAACCCCCACCACCGCTATCACCATCCCCACTACCACAACCACCACCACTACCACAACAACCCCCACTACCACAACCCCCACTACCACAACCCCCACCACCACTATCACCATCCCCACAACCACCACCACTACCACAACCCCCACCACCACTACCACAACCACCACCACTATCACAACCCCCACAACCACCACCACTACCACAACCACCACTACCACAACCCCCACCACCACTACCACAACCCCCACTACCACCACCACTACTACAACCCCCACCACCACCACAACCACCACCACTATCACAACCCCCACCACCACTACCACAACCCCCACCACCACTACCACAACCCCCACCACCACTACCACAACCCCCACCACCACCACCCCGGGCCACTCGCCACCACCACCTCGCGGGGGAGGGGCAGTACACGACAGTACACATGGACTGCACGGCTGTACTGTGTGCTGGTACAGTACTAGCCAACACGCAGTACAGTAGTATGATGGTGGTGGTAGTAGTAATTATTCGCTTATAGTGTTACTGGCAGTACCTGGTAGTAGTTATACTGTCAGTACACAGTGAAGGTGTACTGTCAATACAAAGTGATGGTGTACTGTCAGTACACAGTGATGGTGTACTGTCCGTACACAGTGGTGGTGTACTGTCAGTACAGTGGTGGTGTACTATCAGTACACAGTGGTGGTGCACGGACAGTACACAGTAGTGGTGTACTGTCAAAACACAGTGGTGGTGTACTGACATTACACAGTGATGGTGTACTGACAGTACACAGTGATTGTGTACTGTCAGTACACAGTGGTGGTGTGCTGTCAGTACACAGTGGTGGTGTACAGTCAGTATAGTGGTGGTGTACTGACAGTACACAGTGTTGGTGTACTAGCAGTACAGTGGTGGTGTACTGACAGTACACAGTGATGGTGCACTGGCAGTACACAGTGGTGGTGTACTGGCAGTACAGTGGTGGTGTACTGACAGTACACAGTGGTGGTGTACTGTCAGTACACAGTGGTGGTGTACTGTCAGTACACAGTGGTGGTGTACTGTCAGTACACAGTGATGGTGTACTGACAGTACACAGTGGTGGTATACTGGCAGTACAGTGGTGGTGTACTGTCAGTACACAGTGGTGGTGTACTGTCAGTACGCAGTGGTGGTGTACTGTCAGTACGCAGTGGTGGTGTACTGTCAGTACACAGTGGTGGTGTACTGTTAGTACACAGTGGTGGTGTACTGGCAGTACACAGTGGTGGTGTACTGGCAGTACACAGTGGTGGTGTACTGGCAGTACAGTGGTGGTGTACTGGCATTACATGTTAGTGGTGTAGTGGCAGTGGTTATTATTTAAGTACACTGGTACTTGCTGTACCTGGTAATATTGTACCAGCAGTACATAGTACAGTGCATAGTAGTACTCCTATACTGACAGTACACAGTAGTGGTGTACCGGCAGTATACAGGAGTGGTATAGTCCTGCAGTGGCAGTATTCACTTCAAGTGTACAATGGTACACAGTATTGTACACTATCATAGTCGTACGGTATTATACTATGATTACTCAGCAGTGATGTTACCGATAGTACAAAGTAGTAGTTTAGCAGCAGTACATACAGTTATACTGACAATACACAGTAGTAGTATGCTAGCAGTGCAGTGGCAGTATTCACTGCAAATGTACCAGCAGTAGCTTAGTCGTATTATACTAACAGTACACAGCAGTACATAGTCGTATTTATACTAACAGTACACAGCAGTGTACTGTTAGTATACAACACTAGTGAGCTGACAGTACACACAGAACAGACGTAGTAATCACTAGTGTAGCAGCAGTACACACCACTAATACACATGCAGTACACAGTACAATTACTACTACACTGGCAGTACACATCACTACATAATACTAGTATACAAGCAGTGCACAGCATTCGTTTACCAGTAGTATACACAGTAGTAGTACACAGCACTAGTTGGTATATTAGGGGCACGCTTGTAGCAGTAGTATGGTAGCAGGACTGCACAGCACTAGTATAATCTTAGTTCACAGTAATAGTAGGATCGCGCACTACTAAACTGTCAGTACATGGCACACAGTACTAATATTCTAGCAGAACGCAGAACTTAAACTTGTACACTGGCAGTACAGAAAAGTAGTAGAAATGCACTAGTATACTAGCGGTAGCAATAATCCATAGGCTGGAGACGTACACACGACTGGTATAACAGCAGCACATACTCGGACGTGTACGAGCGGTATAGGGTAATGCACAACAGTGTTAGTACACGGTACTCAAAGTTCGCATCAGTAGAACGCCGCAATAGTATATCAGAAGTATAAATCCAATACACAGTACACAGCAGTACGAGCAGTACATATCGCTAGAGTAGTACTATACTAGCATCAGTGCACACGCTGTATACCAACATTAGTGTGTATACACAGGGCTGTGGTGCGTTAACTACACATCAGTACTCTAGTGTAATACAAAGCAGTACTATCTGTACACACCCACAGTACACGGCAGTAGCAAACAAACCAGCAGTACACGTCGACAGCACACTTCACTTGCCTGCCACAGTACGCAACGCCTTTGCACCCACTGTTTACACAGCAGCAGCAGCAACAGCAGCACACACCAAATGGAACACAGAAGCGCAGTACACACGGAATGGCTGAACACTCACACCGGCACACAAAGCTCCCCCGTGTAGCCTTTAACAGACTGTTGGGACAAGTGCTGTTTAGCGAGGGGGTGGGGTGGACAGCACCACGCCCGGCCGCCTTTGTCTTCCCAGTCGCGATTTTTTTTCACACCGCACCAAGTACCCATTTGAGGCTGAGTCGACCTAGGGCAGGTCCAGGACGGGTTCCGGTAATCGTCACCGGTGTTGTGCCGTGAGCGGGATTCGAACCCGGGTGGCCAGGTTCACCGGCACACGCAAACATAACAACAACCAGCAGCACAACGCCCTCGCATCAACATCGCAGTTGATTTAAGGTGGAAACGACCCGCAACACAAAACCACACCAGACACCAGCGGCAGCACACACTGGGTCCGCAGCACAACACAGTAGAAACCGGGACAGCCACAACACCCACACAGTACAAACCGTCACGGCCACAACACCCGCACAGTACAAACCGGTACAGCCACAAGACTCACACAGTACAAACCGACACAGCCACAACACTCACACAGTACAAACCGGTACAGCCACAAGACTCACACAGTACAAACCGACACGGACACAACACTCACACAGTACAAACCGTCACAGACACAACACTCACACAGTACAAACCGACACAGCCACAACACTCACACAGTACAAACCGTCACAGACACAACACTCACACAGTACAAACCGTCACAGCCACAACACTCACACAGTACAAACCGGGACAGCCACAACACTCACACAGTACAAACCGGCACGGCCACAACACTCACACAGTACAAACCGTCACAGCCACAACACCCACACAGTACAAACCGTCACAGACACAACACCCACACAGTACAAACCGTCACGGCCACAACACTCACACAGTACAAACCGGGACAGCCACAACACTCACACAGTACAAACCGTCACAGACACAACACTCACACAGTACAAACCGTCACGGCCACAACACTCACACAGTACAAACCGGGACAGCCACAACACTCACACAGTACAAACCGGCACGACCACAACACTCACACAGTACAAACCGTCACAGACACAACACCCACACAGTACAAACCGTCACAGACACAACACCCACACAGTACAAACCGTCACAGCCACAACACTCACACAGTACAAACCGGGACAGCCACAACACTCACACAGTACAAACCGGCACGACCACAACACTCACACAGTACAAACCGTCACAGACACAACACCCACACAGTACAAATCGTCACAGCCACAACACTCACACAGTACCAACCGTCACAGACACAACACCCACACAGTACAAACCGTCACAGCCACAACACTCACACAGTACAAACCGTCACAGCCACAACACTCACACAGTACAAACCGTCACCAGCACAACACTCACACAGTACAAACCGTCACAGCCACAACACTCACACAGTACAAACCGTCACGGCCACAACACTCACACAGTACAAACCGTCATGGCCACAACACTCAGACAGTACAAACCGTCACAGCCACAACACTCACACAGTACAAACCGTCACGGCCACAACACTCACACAGTACAAACCGTCACAGCCACAACACTCACACAGTACAAACCGACACAGCCACAACACTCACACAGTACAAACCGGTACGGCCACAACACTCACACAGTACAAACCGGTATAGCCACAACACTCACACAGTACAAACCGGTATAGCCACAACACTCACACAGTACAAACCGGGACAGCCACAACACTCACACAGTACAAACCGGGACAGCCACAACACTCACACAGTACAAACCGTCACGGACACAACACCCACACAGTACAAACCGGTACAGCCACAACACCCACACAGTACAAACCGGTACAGCCACAACACCCACACAGTACAAACCGGTACAGCCACAACACCCACACAGTACAAACCAGAACAGCCACAACACCCACACAGTACAAACCGGTACAGCCACAACACCCACACAATGCAAACCGGTACAACCTCGACACTCACACAGTACAAACCGTCACAGACACAACACCCACACAGTACAAACCGTCACAGACACAACACCCACACAGTACAAACCGGGACAGCCACAACACTCACACAGTACAAACCGGGACAGCCACAACACTCACACAGTACAAACCGGTACAGCCACAACACCCACACAGTACAAACCGGTACAGACACAACACTCACACAGTACAAACCGGTACAGACACAACACCCACAGAGTACAAACCGGGACAGCCACA